GGGTGGGGGGGGGGGGGGGGCGCAGCACAGAGCCCCCGTCGTACCTCGATGGTGGCCGCTTCCGGCACGGTAACGATGATCAAGTCCAGTTTTCCGTCGTCCAGCAGCCCGAGCGACGCGCTTGCGGGTACCACTTCCTCCAGGGGAAGCGTGTGCACGGGGACCTCGAGCTCTCCCGCCAAGAGCGGCAGTGCCTGATACATCCAGCAGCAGCAGCAGCAGCGGTAGCAGCCACAAAAAACAGCACACATAAGAGACATCATCTGGTGCCGTCGGTGTGGAACGATGGTGCTCGTATATTGATTTAGCTGGCTTTCGCACACCGGGTACTGCTGTATCGTTGACGCGCCGTCCGTGGCGTGTCTATTTTCTTTTATTATTGGACATTAATTCACCGGATAGCCCAGTTGTGTTAATGACGAAGCCTCAGCACGATACTGCCAACAGGTGAAAAGGCACCACTCTGGGGTACGCAGTAGGCATTCGTACGCCGACAAACTCCTCAACAACTCATCAATCCCATTTGCATGTTAAAGCGACCAAACACCGCCGCTCTTCTCACGTTTCGCAAGGTGGTAGGGGAGGGGTAGGTGTACGGGAACGTGGCGCTCGCGGACTTGGCGTGCAGCGGCGATCCCCCGTCCGCAGACCTAGCAGCGGCATTGGCGTCACTCACACCGGAGGTAGAAAACGAGCTCCCCTGTGAACCACAACAAAGCCGAAACGAAGGGGGAGAGAAACGTAACGTGGATGAGTTGCACCACAAGCCGAAATGGAGGGGCAGAGAAACGTAAGTCGACAAGTTAACAAAAACATGGCATCCTTACACCGGAACGAACCGATCTTCCTGGCATTTATTTACTTGTGCTCGGTACACGCAAAACGGGGGGAGAGGTGTCTGCTTGCAAATCAATCGCGAGAGCTCTTTCTGGGCGTGGGCTGAGTGGACCGATAGGGACAAAAATCGACGTGTGACGAGCGTCAGTACATGGGGTATCGAGCGAGCAACAACGCGCACGCCCAACCTCCCATCATCGTTGCTCGAGGTGGCGTGGGGCGATGGGTCGAGTTGGTGGGGCACCAAGCACCGTAACGTGGTGTCTCTGGCAAGCCGGGGTGGAGGTAGATGAGGCACTTCTAACAAACACGAGTATGATGAAACATACTCTCTTAACGGTACCCACACACCACCTAGCACCGCCCACAGACCAATCAACGTCACGCCCACTAGGAAATCAATGCGGCACCATCTACTTGTCGCGTGCTTGCAGCCGTCTAGTCAGGCAGGCACGGATGTACGAGCGAGACCGTGCTAGCAGCCGTGTGTCGAGAACATAAAACGGTGCACAAAATCTAACACACAGAAAACGCTCCCCAGCACTCTGAACCGCCACGGCTGTAATTGAATGCCGCCATGATATCGAAGCAGCAGGTTTGGCCGATTGTCAAAGCAGTGGAAGAGGCGACGACAACATAGGGGGTTGAGCGTGCTATCTCTCGAGTCTTCATCTACGCCATCAAACTCTCTGGCAGGCTCCGATCTCCCGCAAGACTATAGCGATGGTGAAAGTGTAAGGGGGTGTATGCACACGCTCGGGTACCAACAAAGCGATGGTCTAATCTACTTAATGCATGCCTGACACCAGCTAACAACATACACCAGCGACCGCAGCTAGCTTGAGTCGATCGATTTGGGATGATTGGTCTCAAAGAATCCTAGAAAAACAAGCCAAAAAAATACAATGAATGTTCGATTGACTTTGATCGCAACGGCTCCGCCCCTCACGAAGGGCACGCACTCTGCTGTTGAGGGTGGAAGGCATGGCGAGCCTAGACGCGTGGTTCATCGACGCCTCGAACACGAAGCCAAGAGGCGAAAAATGATAAAAACGCCACGACCGCCCACCTGGGAAAGAACCACAACGACCACCTCCATCTCTTTCGCGGAAGCGGCGGCATCGACTACTATCTCCGCAACCTCGAAGGCATCCGTCGCTGCGTGGTGGTAGCCCTCCTGTTGGCAATACGGGGCAGGTGGTAACAAACGTCCAAGGAAAACAAGGTCAAAAAGGAAGTAAACGGACTAGGTCAGAGCTGTGGCGGCTGTGGCCTGGTCGAGCACGGCCACCATGGTTTCACTTCTGGAAGCATCCGACATGCCATGGGTGTGTAGTGGTTACTGCCTTCTCAGCAACGTATTAGACGCGGGGAGTTCGCGACAGGCGCTGAAAGGAAAGGAGGCGTGACGTTCCAAGCGCTACGAAACGGTGGGCATTGTGCCGGGGGATGTCTTGTACGCTACGTTCCTAGTAAGCGTTCATTTATCAACCAGCCCTCGCAGACACACCGAGTTCATCAACGGCGGATTCAAATACGAAGCGAGGTCATAGCACATTCGCAACCAACCAAGACTTCATTACATCATTGCGGCGGTCGAACTGACAACAGGTCGGCGTGCCTTTGGGATTCTGAAGGGGTTAACCCGCTCCAAACAGACCCGGGGCCGCTCTTGGGAATACTGCTGCTGTTCGTTCGGGTCTACATATATCTCCTGATAGAAAAAAAGAGTAACTTGGCATCTCGTGCTGGAGAGCTGTGCGTCCTGATATCATCGACGGCCGCCTGAGGACACCCACCTACAACGGCGGTGCGTGCTGAAACCACTACTACCAATTCTTTGGCAACGCGTAACGGCCCGTTGGATGGAAACTATGTAGAAGTACTTCAATCAATGGAGGTGCTCGCTGGTGTTCGCAAGGCCGCGCGGACGAAATCACACAACCAACCTATGTGTACCGCCGTATTGGTCCGTCAGGGGTGATGATAAGTCCTTCGGTTCAACGCGGGTGACCTTTTGGAGCACAGAGTATTTCACGCTTTGTGTGTGTTTCTCAGAAAAGCTTGCGGTTTACGGGCTGCGCACGGCGGTGGTCGGTCCAGCTAACGCTCGTTGCTACCTGTGGTATATACCTGCACGAGCCGCAGGTCTGACGAGAGCCCTCGCTTGTTTGGGCCATAAAGCATCGTATAATATGCCAACACCGTCAGGTGCATATGCAAACACCGCGCACGAGCAGCACGTCGACCGTCCGTGACACAATGCCACCGACAATGCCTAGGACATGCATAAACATCACAGCTGGCTCGTATGTGTGCTCTGCGGGAGCCCCACGGCGGGCGCTGCTGTGTGTCAGACCTCGCGCAATGTGAGAGAATTTCGTCGAGAGGTCCTTCGCGCACTTGCCTACATAAAAATCGAGTGACTCCGAACAGGCACCGCCGTAGCGACGTAAACAATGTGTGCGTACATAAAATGGCTACGTTAGATGTATTCCTCCCAAGACAAACCACAATAAGGGCCCAACTACAAGCAACTGGTCCAACGGCCTTTGCATCCACCACGCTCTCTGCTCTTGTGGCATGAAAAAAGGTTCCGGTCCCAACTGCCGGCCAAGACAAATACAGAGACCGAGGGAAGAAATCGGAGTTTCGAGTGATGCACAGCTGTTTTCTTGGCGAACTGGTAACAGAGTCCTTGGGCTTGAGGCGTGTTAAAGGTTACAGAAGCGTGTGTCGCCAGCTGACCGAGGCCCTCGATAAGGACGAAAGCCGCTAAATCACCTCACAGACCGCGGTAGAGCCGCGCAACATTGCAGGCTAACCCGCTGTCACCAACTCGAAAACAGCGGCGGAACTGAAAGCTGCACGGTACTCCGAACTCTCTGCGCGGTGCACTGCTTAGTGAGCTACCACGCTACCAAACCAGGTCTAACTCCTACTCGAGCGCACACGTACACACCTCCAGATTCCCTCCGGTGTTGGACCCGGCCCACAAGAAAGCGGGGAACGAGCGATGGCACTCCTGCCCTCCCCTGACGACTTCCCACGCACCAGCGTCTAATGCTCTTCCGGCATAGGACACGCTGCTGGCCGCTGCACAAAGTCCCGCCACAAGCGTTCTGCTGGCTGGTCTCCGCATTCTGCTGTGACTAGGTCTATATGTCACAAGAAAGAGGTGTGTGAGGTGCCTCCTGAGATCGCTTGCACCCCTTTGTTCTTCGCTCTCCACAGCTCTCCGGCCGTGTGCTCGGCTGTCGGCCTGTGTTCGCTTGTTGCTTCTACGGAGGGCCCCGCCAAACAGGCCAGTTCGGGGTCCCAGACAATTCGCCGGTGCCCCTCGCAAATGCGAACATGCGAACAAAGACTATGGTTATTATACTTGTAGTCATAGTCTTTGCATGCGAATGCACGCGCACTTTGCACGAACACAGCACAGCATCCATGGCACCACGCTTTACTCTGTTGGTGTATATAGTTCCGTGTGCGACAGCAGTGTCCATCGTCCATCAAACTTTGCTCTTCCTCGCCATTTTTTCCATCTAAAAGTTGTCGTTGTTGTTGCAAAAAAATACTCTTACTACAACAGCGCAACGCACCCACCCCCCACCCCCGCCGATATTTGTGAGTGAGTGGCGGTGATGATACGATGCTCATGTCGACAAAAACATAACTGTAAGGAAGAGAGAGAAGTTAACAACGCTCCATGCGACCCAACGGGCGCAACTGTCCTAATAATGTATCCAACGCGTGTTTTGTCGTCGAACGACAGGCAGTCAGTGCAGTCACTCGCTTGTCACTTTCCACACACTTGCATTCATTCTCGACTGGACTCTTCTTTAGGTCGTGAGCCACGCGATAGAAAATGGGGTGCTTCTTCGACGTTGTCTCGCGTGCATGCATAGATACATACCTCGCCGAGTCATTTTTCATCCATGAAACGAAAATCTGGCATCGGTTTGTCCGGATAGATAAGACTGCTGGCGGGCGTCATCGACCATACGAAAAAAATGCGCACGTCTTCATTCTATAATGACACCCATGATCGATCGCAAGTGTCATCATGCGCCAGCGTGTGAACTTGTGCCCGTCGCAAGGGGCCGTACGCGTCAACCGGCCCGAAGTCACATTCGGGGGCGAAAAATAAACCTAGATATACAATCCGTGTCGCTTGTATTAAAAAGTTTTCATATCTTTTTTACACAAATCACTTTCCTCTATTCTACAAATCAGGGAGTGCGGGGAATCTCGCCGTGCCCCTACCCTCTAAACTCGTGCTTCTAGTCTAGGTATACCATCACTCGAAGTCAGCTCGAAAATACATCGCTGGTCAGCAAGGTAGGGCACCAAAACGTCAGCCTTGCGATCTACTCATAGCAGAACCAAGCGTTGTTGAATACCCCGCCGCACCGCCTAGTCAACTCTACAAAACAAGGAGGAAGTATACCAATTCTCTTCGCCCCGCTCTCTCGCACGGTAAAACCACACTCGGAACTAATCCCACATGGCCGGTTAAGGTTTGCCGGCCATCAAAAAAGGGATTTTTCGTTCGCGGTATCTCGCCCGACACAACCACAACTGCCGGTGGTGGTCCTTGACAAGCACACACGAAAAAATTACGGCAATCAAAACATGGCAGACTGGTTGACTTCGATGAAGTCCCCTTCACCCGCCCTCTCTCGGAAATCGAATGCGCGCCGAGGAGAACGCGCGAACGACTTCAAAACCAACTGACCCAACAGCAGAGTGACGCCAATAATGATACAGTAGCAGGGGCGATCGACTGGGGAGTATCAAAACCCGAACAAACTGCATCATGACCATCCATCTCTCCTCCCCGTCATATCTATTCATCCGTCCATCACTTATGTGAAACTCTTCTATAAGTTAGAGGGTGATGGAGCGCTTGAACGAGATGGCTCCGGTCGCGCCGTTGCTGGTGAGCGGCACGTTGCCCTTCACCACCCACGCGCCCTCGAGGTACTCCCAGTCCACGTTCTCCCTCTGCGCGGTGAACTTAACGGCCCGCGCGTCGCCCAGCGAGCGGTTGAGACGCACCGCGATGTCGCCGGTCTTGAGGTCGACCTTGGGGGAGATGACGTTGTTGTCGTCCAACCGGTGGCACACCTCGAGGACGGCAGAGTCCTCGGCGTGGTTCACCGTGAGCTCGGCGGAGGTGACGTCGCCGTCGAGTTCGGCCGCGACGACAACCTCGCCGGTCTTCCCCTGCACGTCCACGGTGGGCTGGACGATCACCTGGAGAAAAATCCCAGCATGAAGTGGGAGTACACAAAAAACATGCGAATGGGGTAAAAGAGGACGGTGTTGAGACATTGATCATTGGGTTAATGTGCATTTCGGAGTTCCTTGATCTTTTTCTCTGGAAAGGAGTGGTTCTCGCGGCATTCCCGACAACTTCCCACCCTTGTGGGCGGGCTGGGGTACACGGTAAATATGCCCTGCAGGTTTTCAAACTAACAGCTACGCTTTCACCACAGCGGTACGTAGACACAGCAGAACTCGTGGCAACAAAGAACATGACACAAACAACAGTAGACGGGAGCAGCAGCATTATACTGTACCGCGGCAGCACACGTGGCAACAGAAAACATGACAACACACAAAAAATAGATTTCATTCAGCAGCAGTAGCTTTCCCACCTTGCGGCCGTTAAGGTCGAGGTGCTTGGTGATGCGGAGCGGGCCCATCGTGCTGTCGGCGGTGTCGAAGTCGACGGCCACCGAGTCACGGCCGCTGTTGACGCGGCAGTCGATCACGGCGTTCTTGGAGTCGATGTCCATGTCAGCGCGAAGGTTCGCCGTCATGTCATCCCCGAGGTCCTGGGTGGTGCTGACCCAGAGGGACGTGGGCATCCCGCGGCACCTACGTTGTTGTTCGGGGGGCAGGGAGGTTTGTTAGTTGAGTTGGAGTGGTTCGAAACTGCTGTTGTTCCAGCGACACACGGAACGAACGTGCCGTATGTACGACGCGATGGATCTCAGCCTGATTGCCAAATCGAAAGCAAGTGGGAAAGAGTACACAGTGAGGCCAAAGGTCGAAGCAGACTTCCGATGTAGATACCGAGGAGAGCTGTAACGTTGCCACGCAGAGAGCACAGATACCTATCGATGCTGAAGTCAAATCGTCCATGTCATGTTGAGCAGGCTTGGGCTGCCATTCCAAAGTTTCGTGGTAATACAGAGTATCAAATTGTATTGCCAAAGAATATTTAAAGCGGATACAACCCGTTGGTCTTCAATTCAACACGACATTATTGTCGATAAAAGTACTTGCCCGCGTTACGCGCGTTACGTTACACCTTTTGGATACGGTACGGGCGGACGCGTGTCGAAGAAGCACAACGGAACAGTAACTGATCTTGCGAGACGAGGACTCACTCGTTAAACTTGTAGACGACACCGCAGTCCACGTTGTCCACCACCTCCCTCTGGAATCTGCCCTCAAGGTTCAACGAACCTGTGCCACAAGCAGTGCGGGGCGGAGGGAAGTACAGGTTAGAGTGGCGTACACATGAGTTAAAGTGTATTCGAAACCTATAGTATGCATTCTCAGGCCAGCTTGCACGCGCGCACATGCTCACGCTGTAGGAAGATTCACTTCTGGTTCAACATGCAACAGCAGTCGTCGAACCAACACGTAACCATAGATGTGGAACGAACCACCCAGAAGCACTCGGAAGAGCGTGCGATCGTCAGCAAGTGGGCCTCGAAGACGAACAGCAACACGGGGGAGACCCGCGCAGCTTCTGGCTTATATCGTGGGGAATACATGTACATGTATATATAGGAACATTCATCGATGCGGTAAACTGAGGGTAAATGGACTCGAATGGGCATCATATTTTTGGCGCGTGGTTTCGAACTTCAAGCGTGCAAGCGTGACCCGGGAGTGTTTTGTCACACACGAACGACGGAGGCTATCCTGTCGGCATCGGTGGGGCAGGCCGTGATACGCCGACCGGCGACACTCCCTTCTCTCATCCACCGATCTACTGCTGGTCGACGGGTGCTAGATCCAAGCCTTTTGAAACACATGCGCGCTGGCTGGCGGATAGGACGCGTGCCGCATCATCTGCTGTACCTCCTACTAAGTTTTCATACGGTGTTCCAAAATCTAGAAACGAGAGTGATCGGACAGGAGAGCGTGATCTACGTTGGAATCAGTTCCAAGCGCACGGCCTGGGAGCCTACCATGACCAGATGAACATGCGCATCGCAGTGCGCTATCGAGGCCTAGGCGCGGGGCCCGCTCGGGGTAGATAAGATATCCAACTTTCGTTGGCCCTTCTTTTGAGATCCGAAAGCTCAATCTTCGTGCATGATCTGTGTTTTCATCATTCCTAGACGTGGTTGCATAATGACTGCTGTCTTGCTACTCCTGCTGTGTTCGCGAACCAGCGTTGTAGTTGGGAAGAGATATACCAGGCAGGTCAGCTGGCAGCTGGGCGCCTCCCGCGCGCGACGGATGCACATGTGCAACAACAGCGATGCCCGCCGGGGCAGCGGCGCCGCTTTGGCATCTATTTCCACACGGGGAAAAAAACAGCTGGCAGATGCGGCACGAAAACTGCACCACCAAAGGGGTAGGGCGGGCACACGACACACAGGAAAGGGATTGCTTGCTCTTCTCACCTACACCATCGCTCAGGGAGTGGTCGGAGACGTCGATGGTGAAGGTGGGTCCCTCCCCGTTGAGCGCATCTCTGCAGGCCGCCGAGAAGCGGTCCGCCTCTTCCTTGATCGACGTGAACCTCGACCCGAAGCTGGGCTCGGGCACCTCGACCGTCCTCCACGCGTCCGTGGCGGCGAAGAGGGCGACGAAGAAAGCGACGGACTTCATGGTGCTGGATAGAATGTAGAAGAAGTGTGCACGGTGGAGAGAGGTTGGAGTGGTTGATGTTGTGGGAGTGATCAGGGTGGGCGCGGAAGGCAGAGAGCAGCAGCGCGCGCGGTTTTTTGCGCGAAAAAAGAACAACCGCTGTTGCACCCAAAATCTTAAAAAATAAAAAATTATCGTTGTATTTTCAGATGTTGAACTCACGAGTTCAAGTTGAAGGGGCCTAGCAACACAAACACCAAGATATCCTGCAACTACAAATTGCGTGCCAAGTTACGCCGCAAATTAGTTCCGGATCAGCGGATCAGCCCATGGGGATCTCGGGTCTACTGAATGATGCGTGTATCGAACGTTACCGCGCGCGCCCCGGTGCTGGCGTCTTGGCACGGTCATGGGTATAAGGCGGGGAACATGAGGAGGAGAAGGCGCAGTGTTCCTGCGCCCTACGGTGCAACGTCAGGAGTGAGAAGAGGCGCACGCGCGATGGTCTTTTTTTAAATCCGGTGAGAAACCTTCAGACTATATTGTAATGCGTTGCGAATTTTGTGTACAATTGGGCAGAGACAACACGATGAAAGGCGTCGTCCAGGACACAAAGATATTGCGATGCGAGGCCACCATTGCAGTAGAGAACAACCACTGCAAGGATAAAAAACAAATCTGGATAAGACGTGCGAAATATTGCGGCTCATATTGTATCCCGTGGGAAGAAAACTACCAATCAATATTGTTTCGCGTTTTCCCTAAATAAATGTTGGTGTTCGTGTAGACTAGTCGACAGCAGAGTAGTCTATGCCTATGATGTAGTAAAGGACCTGTATCTTCAGTAGTAAGTCGTTCATCACACACCGCACCGCCGTACAGATGATGATATGGACACAAAATATCTACACGTACGTGAAAGATGCGATGCGCTATACGGTAGAGCAAAAGAGCGAGTGCGGCGAACAGGGTGCGCTACTCGTTGTCGGGATGGTCACAATTAAAAATTAATAATGGATTGGGGAATCCTTTTCTCCCCCCCCCTCGCCGGGAGCAGAAGTATCGCGCGCGGGGGGGGGGGAGGAGAGAGAATTACCGCTGGTGGTGTGCACATGCAAAGCAAGGGTTTGGGGGTCGGGTAGGGAGGAGGAAGACCGGCGAGACATAAAAGGCAGCACTGGAGCGAAAAGATTTTTACTGGATTCTCGGCGGTTGTACAATACGCGGCTCCTATCTGTTGTGTGCCGAAGAAAAAAAACGCCCCCTTGGCACCGCAAGCAGAGTAATTCACCCCCGGAACCCAGGTTGTTGTTGAGATGATTTGGTTTCTATGGCAGCACAAACAAAGAATTGGGAACTGCAACTGCGGCAGACTTGAGGTGGGAGGAAGAAAGGGTAGACGAGTCCTCGAAAAATGCCCCGCGCTAATGGTTTGAAGAGTGGGACCTCCGTTCGTTGTTCTTCAGTGGTGCGCGGGTGCGTGGATAACAACACCCGAGCGGCTGGTGGGGGGGACGGGGCTGGTTTGCGCGAGACTACAATTGTAGTGGAAAGGCACGTTGAGGGAGCGGGTCGACTTTCTATGTAGTGTTTCCGTGCGTCACAGATAGTGCCTGCTGTCCCTGGCATGACTCGTTCTTGTCGAGTATCCAAGAAGACCGAAGGTTTTTCGCACAGTTCTTGGTGAAGACATCAATACGCCCCTGTTACGGTTTGGTTCACAATCCCCGCGAGCGCCTTCAAGCGCAATGGTTGCACCGCAGCAGCATTGTATCGCAGACTGTGCGGAGAGCGGGGTATTAAAACGAGCACAACCTTGTATAGTGCACAAAACACACCGGGGGGGGGGGGTGTACTCATAGTCGTGCATGCCGTAGTCGTTTGACCATTGACCTCGCATCCCTACAAAGCCGGGACGGAGCACGCCGGGTTCTCACCGGACCAGGCTCTCACATCACCAAGCGCGAAGCGCCGTGAGGTATTTGGCGAGTCGCATGAAGGGTGAGCTGCATCCTGCTAAGGGTGTTCGGCATCTTGTGCTTACTTCCTTGCGTACGGATGACAGCTACGTATGACTTAATTTATTTTCTGGTGCTTTCACTTCCAGAGACAGTTGTAAGCACTGTGTAACTGCCTCGAGGAAGCTTGGCCATTTTAACACAACGTGGTGCGATCATCCCCCGTTGCGCGGAGTGAGGTTTCTCGACCCCGCACAACATGATCTACTCGACCACCATTATGGTTACCGCCAAAAAAAAAAACGAGGTAAAAAAAAAAAAACGGTAACCTGGTTGCCGAGTTCACGAAGTGGATTGGCTTCTTTTACAACGTCGTTGCCAAGCGACGAAAACCCAATCCCGATGGCAAACACCGAGTGGGGGGCTTGTTTTACAACGTCGTTGCCAAGCGACGAAAACCCAAACCCCGATGGCAAACACCGGGGGGGGGGGCGGCTTGTTTTACAACCTCGTTGCCAAGCGACAAAAACCCAACCCCGATGGCAAACACCGGGGGGGAACACCGGGGGGGGGGGGGGTACTCTTTTGTTTTGCATGCCTTAGCGGTTAGACCATTGACCACGCGTCCTCGAGAGGACGGAGCATTGTTCTCACAGGACCGATCACCGATGGCCAATCGTTCCTTCCGATTTTGTCAAAGGTGGCTCAACCATGTCTTCCCTGCAGTCTATCTATCCTATCGATATCACTTCCCGCCTTTTCAAACCACTTCCTATACCCCAGTACAGCTACCGTCTTATCCTGGCTATTCCATTCCTCAACCATCTCCCTGTGCCTTCCTTCTACTCTTCCCCGCTCAGTCTTGTGTTCTTCCCTCTCCTTCTTGTACAACTGACATTTCACAACTGCATGAACACGGTATTCGCACTCGGAGCCGCAATCACATTTGAACTTGTCTCCGTCGTCTACCTTCCGAAATCTTCGTCTACGTTCTCGAAGGCCAATGTCCCTGGCCCTGAATTTGACCTTCAGCTTTGTCCCTGCATCCGTTGGTCCATGTAGGTACTCCTTGAACTATTTTCCTTCTTTCAACATTCCACCCACTTCTAGGCCCTCCTTATCCTTGGTTTCTTTGCTTAGACTCTGTTCTGCTCTCTCGGCCAAAACAACAGATATCTTCTCCTTGAACCCCTTAGACCTTCCGTTTCCAGCGTGTCACCTTCGTCAATTTCGAACCCCTTCCATACGTCATCTACAACCTTGACCCACTCCGTGGGTTTTCTACCCCTCTTCTTATTTGCTTATTTCCCACTCCGCCTCCCGGGCTATTCTGGGCAACCTCTCCTCTCCCATCCCGCACATGCGATACTGCCGTGTCAGCTTCCTTGCGTCTCTTCCCGATCGTAGGGATCGTATCCCCAGTTCTGCCCTGACGGCTGCATTACTTGTACGCTTGGAGCATCCTAGGATGACTGCGCCGGCTCAAGCTCTTTGACTACAGTCGTGGGCCCGGTTTAGCGGTTCCCTGTGTAGCGGGATGCCCTGAATAGCGGCTATAAAACTCGTGACACGGCTGCACCCCGGTTTAGCGGTTATACAACCGCTGAACCGGTCGTGCCCTCAATAGCGGTTATTGGACATGTTTGCAGCCACCAATAGCGGTTATCGGTTCAATTTTTGCGGGGACCTGCCTGTAGTGCGCGCTTCGCTTGCACGTACTCACAGCACAGCGACTTGGTCAGCCTGTTAGCTGGTCGATGCTCATAATAAAAAGGACACAGCGAGACACACACACATACACCAAACGACGCAGGGCCAGAGAAGAATCGCCGAAAAATAGCTGAAGAAACGACGATGAGAGTGATGGTGGTAAAAGCAACGAGGATGATGGTGAAAACACTCCAAAACGAACTCGAGTGCAAGGTGGCAGTTTTCCTGTGTTGCTACCTACCGTGTCTGTCCTTATTCCGGGGAATAGCTTTTTCCTGCCCCATGCCGCCCCCTCACGAGGTCCCAGTTAGTGACATACAGAAGTGTTTTGTGCTTTCAACCGCGCTGAGACTGACGACGACGTCTTTTCATTGGTCAGCCGGTTAGCGCGGTCGATGCTAATAATAAAGACACACACCATGCGGCGCGTGGATGGAGAACTGTGCAAGCTTCTAGATGCGGCACGAGTCCAAGCGGCGCGCATGATTGTAAAGGTTGCTGTGGTGGCCGCATACACGGCATGTGTGTGGGGAGGTGGAGGTTCCGGATGAGAACGAGATGCAACCGGCCTACAACCAAGAAGGCCAGAGTTCCCCTCACTTTTCAAATCCGCCCAAGCGCCAAGAGGTGTAAGGTGGCTTTCTAGCACCAGGCGCGCGGAAAGAAACAACTCGCGCTGCAGCTACACGACAACAGCCCCACACGCGGCTCTACTTTGGCTAGAATCTCGAGGTTTTGAAGCTTTTTGACCAGAAGGTAGCGCACGCAGAAATAGTGCGCACAGGAAGAGATCGCGGAACCTTTGCGTAAAAGGTGCGAATGACGAGGTTGTTGAAAGTTGTCCGGTACATGGAGGGGGGCCTAACCTCCGACGACGACACGACGACCTAGAGCTAGGGCTAGATACCACCGCACAATTTGACGGAGCGAAGGGCAGGGGGGTGATGTCACCGCCACCACACTCAGAGGTATCATCGGATTTTGGCCAGCGTGGAGAGCGCGGAGTCGTGTGGCGTAAGCGAAGCAGCACACTATTTCGCGAGGCAAAAATGGCGTTCCTCGCAGCGCACGCCGCTCCTCCAGCGCGGAAGACAGATACCAGAGAGATTGCTTTGGGTGAAGAATGATCGATACGCGACACACGGCAGAAATGAGATGCTCAAGCACGTGGTTGATTGCCATTGCGTTGTCACAAGTTTGTCTTATCACCTACTTCACTTCGTTAGAGACGCGAACGATTTTCCAGTCTTGATGAGGGGCATACAGTCCAGAAGGGAGAATAATCTTCATGCTTTGGCGAATTAAAATGCATCATTAATGAATGTGCTTGCGGCGTTGTCCTTCATTGGCTCGTTACTTCTTCATCTGCACCTTGTATGACTGCTGCAATGATACGCATGGCCCTATCAATATCAG